TTTTAAATATTACCCAGCTCTACTCATGACTTAAACTGAACTGGAATAATATCCTTTTCGCTAACTTTGTGGCATTCTTTTTTTTATTTCTCCCAGACCGAAGTTTGTTGCTGAGTTGTATTGAGAATTTCAGCAACACCTTGTTACTGGACTTCCTCGTTTGCTTGTTTGTGAAGATGGGGATTTCAGGCCATGACTCATCTTTCCAATCATCTCCACACTGTCCAGCTGGTTGCCATGACGCTGCTGACAGGAAAAAAAAAAAAGAAAAAGAAATATGGCCTTTTACAGCCATTGGCCTCGAGCTTCAGACAGGAAATGTGTCCTTTGTGATTCCCTCAGTTTGTAGAGCTGCCTCTTCTGTGAGACAGACTTCCCTTTCCCTCCTTTTGCTCCTCCGTTATTCCAGTTTTCTTGTTTGCCCACCTAGCTGTCTGCACTGAGCTCGTATCATTCTGGACGTGGTGTGGCTCTTTTCTGTCTGATATGAGCCGTTTCATCTTTTCTGAATTGAAAATGGGAGCAGAATATAATGTATTCTTGTTGTTGGAGTTTCCCATTATCTGAGCTGATGAGTGTGAAGATATACAGTGTGTCTGTTTAATTATCAGGGCAGGTGTTTGCAGGACGCTTAAGCTATTAGATTGTAATCAGTCATACAACAGGAAGTCTGACGACGGCTGATGGGATTTTTCTTGTTGCTGATGTCAGTAGCAGATTCATATCTTTTACCCTCAGGACGACACAGTGGTCATTTTTTATGTCCTTATAGAAGCAGGAAGAGCGTGAAACTATAGTGTTATTTTGGTTCTGTTTCCATATGTATTTAATCTTTATTTTTGTAGCAAATCTACCCTATATTTCCAACAATTCCATTTTTTAAATTCCTTTTTTTTTTTTTTCTTCACATTTCCAGAGGTGCCGATGTATCTTGTTAACACTGTTAACTCATTTCCCCGCTGCAGGTTGACTGTTTTTCAACCCTCATTATTCTAAGCACTTGTCTTCTGCCGGCCCTCCATATTCCATTACCCCCCACACACACACACACACACACACACACACACACACACACACACACACACAGACACACATTCTCTCCCTAGATTTATTCAATATCAATGCTAAGGGGGTGTAAATTCATCATGGTGGCAGCATGGTGCAGCAGAGAATGGAGGAGAAACACAGTCGGTTAATCTTCAGGAGAACTACCTCACCTCTTTTAACTTTTCCTCGTCTTTTATGCTCTTTAGTCTGTGACAGAACTTTCAGATTTGGGGTCTTGTTCGTAAAAAAAAACAAGGATATTAACCTTAAAAAACTCATAATGCACTGGGAGGGGTAGTGGTTATGTTGCGCAACCTAAGTGGTTGGTCCAGGTTCGACTCTGACACTTGGCAGCATATCATCCCCCACTCTCTCGTCCCTGTTTCTGATTCTATCCAGTGTCCTCTACAATAAAGGCATAACAACCCCTCCCAAAAAAAAAAGAAAAAAGAAGAAAGGCCATAACCATTTGTTCAGTCTAGTTATTGCCATGACCTGTCTGCAGTCTCACAGCGTGAGGGAATGCCACATTGATCACCTTTTGAAAAGCTCTTATTCAATCTCCCCACCGCTGATTTCCCTTCAGGGTATTTCATTTACTATTGATTTCTGTATCTCCTTTTTAAATCTTCCTCCATATGCTGCGCTCACTGGCTGCCTGTTATAAGCTGCCCAGACGGTTACTATGACACTGCCGGGGTCTTTAGTCTGGCACTGCCAATAGGAAGGCGGCCCTGGCATCAGGTGACCTGTTGCTATTTTGAACAGGAGCTGTATGTGAAGTGAAGCAAGCTGCTAAATTAGAGACACAACTCATTGACATGAGAGGAGAAGAAGAAGAAGAAGAAGAAGAAGAAGAAGAAGAAAGGGAAGGAAGGAAGGAGAAAGGAAAAGGTGTAAAGTTGTTCTCTTGGTTGATCAACAGTTGTGCAGGTTATAGGGGGTGGGGGTGCAAACAGGTCGTTGTTGTTCAGCTGCAATATTTTCTTTAAACTCTGCCTTTTTTTTTTTTGGTATAAAGAATTGGCTTGTGTTTCCAGCTCATGAAAGCATCATTTCTTCTCAGTCTTTTCTCTCCCTGACAGACTCTTTTCTTTCCCTTCTGTGTGTGTGTGTGTGTGTGTGTGTGTGACGTGAATCAACTGACTCAGTCACAAGCGTTTGTCATCACACACATATATTTACACAAACACACACAGTCATCGCCTTTCCCTCCCACTCATTCTTTTCTCTACATTTCGCTGCATCACTGACCTGTTGTAGCAAGCTGGTCAGCCCCAAGATGTTTAAGACGTCATTTCAGCTTTTTTTTTTTTTTTTTTTTTATCTCTAAAAATAAACCCCAAAGGGCTCACTATCGAGGTGTGTGTAAACCGTCACTTATTGGGTGCTCCTTGTTGGGATACACCTGTGTGTTTTAGAGGATGACTCAGAGCTGGTAGGTGGGGGTGACTATTGTTGTTCTCATTAGATGCTGCATGTCGCTCACAGGATTATTCCTCCTACTAGAGTGGGATGCGGGCACACCACTGCTGGTGTTTGAGTTCAATGAAACAGGAAGCATGGATGGGCTGTGGTAGGTAGCCATGGCCTTGGCAACAATGAGTATCTACATTTGGTTTAATGTTGCCATGTGCAGAGCGCCTCGCTACGTCAGGCGGCTGAGCCAGAATCAACATTTGTTTTGTCGGTTTTGTCTGTTTATTTCCTGCATAGATGGAAATTTAAAGCACAGGGGAGCAGAAGAGCTGAGAAAAGATGATGCCTACCTCCTAAAGGCGTCTGGCGTCAAGTAGTGGCTTTAAAAAAAAAAAAACTGCCCAATGCTGCTGGCCTCTTTATTAACATTGTTAAACAATTACGTCTTTTAGAACAGTTGACCTACATCATACGGCTCCAAAAAGAACTGGGGGGGAAAAAAAACCAATGGGGGAAATGGTGTATTTATTCAGCCAGTGGAACAGACCTTTCATTAATAATGTACGCGTCATGTGCAATTACTCACTTGAATGAGACACATTTTTTTCTTCATGTCCTGATCAGTCCATGACCTCAAGAAAACACCTGTCCTTCATGTGTGTTTAGTTTTCCCTTTCCTGTCTTTCCCTTTTTGATATTGTTCAGTTTCAAGTGTTAAAACCACACACACATGTTTCTATTAGCACAGATTCTCTTTCTACAAGTTCTTAATAAAAGTTTTGTTTGAAGTTTGCCACCAAGGACACTCCCTTTGATTTCCTTTTGCTGTTTTTCTTTAAAGAACATCATAATGGTATCTTACTTGATTGTGGTAGTTAAACTAGAGACCAGGGGAGATAGCGTGGTGTAAAGTGCAACAGAGGTCCCCTTGCCAAAATCCAACCTGATATATTTAGTATTACATAGTACCAATGTTATCCTCGAGGCTAAGAGAGAGCAGTCCACTTTTTTTTTTTTTTTACTTCAAGAGAAACAAATAGAAAACAAAACAATTGAAGCTACAATAGGCTTGAAGCAAGAACCTATAGTTCTGGCTGTGGTTGTTTTTTTCGACTCTGAGCATGTAATAGTCTCCTCAAATGATAAAGCAATGACCTCCTGCAACTCTCCACACAGTCTTATACCTTTCCAAAAGCTTGAGGCATCATGACCCACAATGCAGCTCTATTGCAAACACGTTGGTTAGAGATTCTGGTGGGTTAACCTATAGTAGCTAGCTGCTTATGTAGCCTTGTCCAGCCAGCCTCAAGCAGCGATTACTGTGTGGTTGGCTCACATTCTAACTCCAAAAGAACCTCTTTTTCAACTCTTAAGTCTAGAGGAGCGAGCAACATCAATGACACGTTTTATCTCCCAAACTGAGCGGACTAATTGTGTTGTTTTTAATCATCAACACTGAGACTCAGGTATAAGCGCTGGTATGGACACATTTCAAATGTTTCTCAGCCCTCCTACAGCGATATTTATTGTACTCACTGATCGCCTCATTTGTGATGTCTCACCACATATGTGCACAGAATTTTTTTCTGCCTCATTACGAATGGTGTATGTCATATTTGTGCATTCTCACCTCTATTTTAAAAGCCCACACCTAGTGACTCACTTCTCCTGCCTGGCACATTCAGCTGTCCGTATTCTTGTCAGCACCTCCTACAAAGCGCCAGGCAGCCTCTCAGTGAGTGAGAGAGAGAGAGAGAGAGAGAGAGAAAAAGAAAAAGAGAGGAAAAAAAAGGAGAGAAACAGCAAGAAGAGAACAAGTGGGATTGTTATATAAGTTGAACACTCAAACATTTCAAACGTTGAGGCTGCCTCCCTCACTGCTAGTCAGTGGCTCACAGGAGGCTCAGGTTTTTTATTGTGGTATGGGTGTCTGGAAGAGGGTCAGCGAGAGGGTCAAGTTACCGAGCATGAGTGGTGAATGTGTTGGAAACTGTGGCCTCTTCATGAGAACTTTATATCCACACTGATATGACAAACCGTCATCAGGTCATTTTTTTTTTCCACCTCTCTCCACTATTTTCTGTCTCTACTTGACACACCCACATGCTGAATGTCTTGTACCTGCGCAAAAAAAAAAAAAACACGAACCACTTGGCCTCACTGCAAGCTGCGGTGGAAACGTTGGCGTGTTATTGTGTGCATCCTTTACACCTCAAATTACACGGAGTCAGCTTTCATGCAATATGAAAGGCCAAGGCCCCTTTTGTGTCTATGTAGGTTATGCCTCTGAAGGCAGTCTTGACCATGAATGACATGCAAACACAGAGGCACAGCCCGTCTTTCATTCTTGAGATAAGTTAATAACATCAGGCTAACCTAAAGATGAACAAAACGGTTCGTTTAGACATTTAAAGTTCTACCAACGAAACGTTTTCCTGCTCATTTTTCCGCCATTGGTCGTTTCATGAACATGCTGGACAAGTTAAGTCTGTTTTTCCCTCTGCGCCTTTACGTGAACTCCTCGTGCATTTCAGGGCTCTGCGGACTCCTACACCAGCCGGCCATCGGACTCGGATGTATCGCTGGAAGAGGACCCCGAGGCCCTGAGGAAGGAGGCCGACAGGCAGGCCCTCGCCACACTCGAGAAAGCAAAGGTCAGAGATTGATTGCTGTATTCCTGTCTAATAGTCATCATTGCTGCATAATCCTCAATCAGAGTCGAGTGTTTCGATGCTGGTTAACCTCTTCATCAGTGTCAAGGGGACCCTAACTCAGTTCTGGGGGGGGGGGGGGGTGTTTGGAGAGCTGCTGGCTGTATTCTAATATTTGTCTTTCCTCTCACTGCTCCAGACCAAACCTGTGGCGTTTGCAGTGCGGACAAATGTTGGCTACAACCCTGGCCCCAGTGATGACGTTCCCGTGCAGGGCATGGCCATATCTTTTGAAGCCAAAGACTTCTTGCACATTAAAGAGGTATTACCTTCACGCTGAAAAATAGAGGTAACTTTTGTAGGTTCTACACACAGAGTAGCGTAAAAAACATGCATCATTTCATCTCCAACTTTGGGGTAAATCACTTTTGGTAACGACAAAACAACCGTGGCTCATGGATGGTGCAAGGGAAAAAGAGAGCAACTGTAGATTTCGGAGTTTGGCCTTGTCAAACAATTGGCAGTGATGGTGGGTGTTAATCCAGTGAGGGGGTCATGTTTTTACTGCAACTCACTGCACTGTCTCCTTCTGTTTAAACTTGAGCCAGGCCTTGAGTGGGAGTCGGCACTAACAAGAGCTGCAATGCGAGCAGAATTGGGTGATCCAAATGTGGAAAAAAAATTGGAAAGAAGAAAGTATTGCTTTCACTTTCTTAACTATCTGATTTGGGTCGCTTTGACTACATAATCTTGCTTTTTTTTTTTTCAGATCCCAGCATCAGACAGTTATCCTGTGAGACTTAAATGACAGAAAAAGCCTTAGCAATTCAGTTGTATATGTTTCGTTAAAGCTTTGAAGCAACACAAGGCCCTTTTCTTCCTGTGTGCAGAAGTACAATAACGACTGGTGGATCGGGCGCCTGGTGAAGGAGGGCTGCGAGGTGGGCTTCATCCCCAGCCCGGTCAAACTGGAGAACACCCGACTGCTGCAGGAGCAGAGGATGAGACAGAACCGACTCAGCTCGAGGTAACCCTGACATTCCCTTGTCACAGAACATCTGATTTTATAAATAACAGCTTCCAAATGAGTCACCAACCAGTTAATGTAAAACTTCCTAAAAACTGAAAGAAGTGCAACCGTGAGTCACTGGATTGATCCTCTACAATCTGTTTAGAGCTCTGTAGTTGAGGCTTTAGTTTTATATATCCAGAAAGGTGTTTGTTTATTTAATTAACAGATCTCATGTGATATTATGCATGTGGATAAACCTCCTGCTTTTAATATGTTATATTTTTTTCTCTTTATTTCCCAATTCACTTTGATTATAAGCCTTTTTGTCCTTTTTGTCCTGCAATGTCACCATTGCAGTTAGTTTACAGCAAAGTAAGACCATTATGGTCCCCTCATGGGAGGAATCCATACAATGCTAATGGTATAATAATATATCAAATTTAGATTTTTCTGATTTGAAAAAAAGTTTATGATAAAGTGCGTTTTTTTTCTGTTTTTTTTTTTTTTAATTATTTGTGTCTTCTTTCTGTTCCAGTAAATCTGGAGGAAGCTCCAGTCTTGATGTTGCCACGGGAACACGTAGGCCCACCCCACCCGGCACAGGTGAGGTCAAGGGGGTCTCCCTATCAACCCCTGCATAACAGTGACGTTGTGCGGGTTTGTGTGGGTGTGTAGATTCCTGACAAGAGCGAGAGAGGGAGAGAGAGAGAGAGGAGAGAGAGAGAGAGTGGTGCCTGATATTCATATAAAGATTTTAATTGTCTAGTTAGTCAAGCATGATGATGACTCACGAGCGGTGCGTCTCAGTGGGTCGCTGTGTGAAGTGAGAGAGGTCTTAGGAGGTCTGTCATAAGCACGCAGGACGGGACTGAAATAGAGCCAGGATTGGTCACTCTCATTAAAGTTGATAAGTATGTCTGGTTTGTGTGTGTGTGATTCTGTGTGTGTGTGTGTGTATGTGTGTGTGTGTGTGTGTGATTCTGTGTGTGTGTGTGTGTGTGTGTGTTGCCATCGCCAAGACAACACAGACTTGCTGCTCAATATCCAAAAAGAGACAGAGAGCAAACAGGGGAAAAATAAACAGCTGTAATGGACTTTATGTCGATCAAATAGAGAAACCATAGAAACTACTCCTGCCTTTAAACATCTTGTACACGCTTGGTTTTGGAACTGACATAAAACTTCAACACTTTGGGAAATATTTCTATTTATATGACTTTGAGAAGAAAGTTCAGTCCCACTGTATTAAAGCAGCTCAGCACAAAGACTTTCAGCAGGGTGAAACACCTTCATCTTTCCCAAAGTGAAAAAACAACACCATCCATCACCTCTAAAGCTGAACAAGTTGCACCTTGTCTGACGAATTCATAAACTGGTGTGAAAACATCAGCTTGCAGTTTTGTCGGTTTAATGGGCCTAGTTTTTCTTTTTCACTTTATGGATTTTAGTTTAATTTGATAGATTGATTTTAAAAGCTAATTAATGAGCTTCAGAGGTGCTTAGCAGCAGATTTTATGTTATGTTGTTTGGCAGGGTGGGGGCTAGCTGTTTCCTGCTGTTTCTAAGCTTTGTGCCGGCGCTGAGCTAGTTGTAGCCTTAGAGTCACATTAAGCAGTTGTTTGTATGTCTTTTTACCCGTCATCTCTTGGCTGGTAACTTTATCATCACAAATCCTAAAAGATTCCCTTTAAAACACCTGCCTGCCTTGTTGGCCCCTCCCTCACATCAGACATACCTGCATCACCAACATTATTCTAGACGGCCCTTTAATCTGATCCCCCAGCTTTCCTCTCAGCCTGGTTTCTTTTCACTCCACATTTATTTCCTCCAGTTTCCTCTTTACACTTCGACTTTTTTTTTATTGCTTTCTTGTCACTTTATCCTTCTTCATATTTACATGTCTGTGCTTCATAATATTTGGATATTTTCTTTTAAAAATTCTTGTCAATGCTATTTACAGTTAAATCATATTATGTCATTTTTCTCGATCTCAGTATGTATGCCATCTTTTGCAATCTCTTCCATGCCTCTCTCTAGATGCATCTCATATTCTTACTTCTCTTTACTCCCGTGTTTGCTTTTCCTTTTTTTTTTTCTCTCTCTTCCTCTTCTGTATTATTTTCTCCTTCTCGTCTCTTCTCTTTGTATTCCTTCTCTGCTTCCTTTTCTCCTCCCTCTATTTCTTGACCCCGGCCACCCTCCCGCCTTTATCAGCCCACGTGGACATGTCCACTGTGCCCTTTGACGTTGACCCCCTCGACCTGGACGCTGAGGAGCCCCCTGAGTTCCAGGGCGATCCTCGCTCCCCCAAGGGCCAGTCAGGCAGCGTAACATCCCCGCAGGCCAACGCCCACCGCCTGCCCCTTCTTTAAGAAGGTAACACAAGGAGGCTTAGGACACCTTGTTTCCGGCTTCTCTCCTCCTTCTCAGATTTGTCCCCCGACTGCTCTGAGATCAGAAATAATCTCTCCTTCCCCGTCTCTTACTAACTGCGCACAACTGAACCGTCCCTGCTGCTCTTTTCGCCCCTGAATATAACGCTCACCACGGTTACTTTTTGATATGTTTTGATGTTTGTCTCTGTTCTTGTCGACTGGCTGGGGGAGGTGTTAAACTAACTGATAAAGAAATGGCTGCTGCTGCATTTAAGTCTGAATCTACTGTATGTATTTTTATATTTTCACCAGTTAACTCTGGTTTAATCAATAATCAACTCAACCCCCAATTCCTCCCCCCCGTTCTAACCTGTCAATAACTAAAATGTGCTCTTTTGTTCTGTGCTTTCTTTGTTTCTTCTTGCTTTTGTGTGGTTTGAAACTGTAGGTGGCCCAGCTAAACAGAAACAGAAGTCGGTGAGTGTCAGACTAACACAATAACATTTTTGAACGTTTTCTCTATCCCCTTCTCCTCCGTTGTCTTGCATTTTACCCTCTCGCGGTGACGTGTGGTGGTGAGAAATCAGTCCTCAGAATAATTCTTCACACATCTTTCCACACCTCAAAGCGCACATTAGAGCTCAAATATTCACAGCATCGTTTGTAAATCACAGTGGCGCCGCTGTCATTTCCCCAGCGCTCGTATCACGGCTGTCAGTGTGCAGATGCAGGTGCGGGACCATCAGAGACCCTGTTAGTCAGAGTGTAACAGTAACACATCCCGACATGCTTTCATTTCCTTTTATGACGGCTGCATCGAGTGACAGCATCCCACAATCAGCACTTTTTATGCTTCTCATCACAATTTGAATCACATGTTGAGACTGCAGAGCAAAAGCGTTTTATGTCAGGAGTGAAACGACTTCACATTGAGACTTCTCTTGATAGACCTTTT